TTAATGAATATTAAAAGTTCATATTCTTTAAATCACTGAATGACTGAAATGTGGGAGAATTCACTCTAGACAGCTAAATGCTGTAAGTTTAATCATCCAGTCACAAGAGTCATCATCTGATTCCAACTGCCCAGATCTGAACCACCTGTGTGCAGAAAAGAAATCCACCAATGAACAATAAGCTTGAATTTAGCAGGCCAAGCAAAATGCTCTATCCAGTAGGCCTGCACTAACTACTGACATACTATTATTCTGTTGCAAAACCCTGTCAAATCTACCTCGGTGCACCTGTTGAAAAACTGCTTCTTAATCCAAGACTCTAACTCCTGTCAAAATCAGTTTCAAACCACGAGGATCCCGAGGACTTGTTCTTCACAACAGTGTGTTCTTTATGTTCCTGCTGTCAAAAATGTGGTCACAGAAGCGATTTAAAAAGTGGGGTCATTCCTGATGTTGAGATAAACTTCTCACTAAAAATACAATGTTGTTGTTTTTTTTAGGTATATAACGAAGCTTTATCTACAGGATGCTTACCCTCAACCATGTATGATACCACTATCACTTTAATCCACAAGCCTGGTAAAGATCCTTTGGAGCCAGGTTCGTACCGACCAATAAGTCTATTGAACGTAGATAATAAAATATTGGCAAAAATTCAGGCTATGCGATTAGAGATAGTTCTCCCAACAGTTGTGTCGGAGGATCAAACGGGATTTGTAAAAAATAGACAGTTATTTTTTAATATTAGAAGGCTATTAAATGTTATATATACACATAATATTTATGATCAATCTGAAATACTACTCTCACTAGATGCGAAGAAGGCCTTTGACAGGGTCGAGTGGGATTCCCTCTTCCCGACCCTGTCAAAGTTTGGCATAGGCCCAAATCATATTTCCTTTGTTAAGCTGCTTTACACAAAACCTCAGGCCTCGGTTAACACAAATACGATAATTTCTAGTCCTTTCCTCCTCCACCGCTCTACAAGACAAGGGTGTCCTCTGACTCCATTGCTATTTGCACTTGTCATAGAATCTCTCGCCATTCAATTACGCTCTACAAAGAATTATAAAGGAATAAGGAGATTTGGTGTAGAACATAAGGTGTCTCTCTATGCAGATGATTTGTTGCTATATATCACTGACCCTATTAAACCATTGCCAAAAATTATGAGTTTTAACTGAAGTTGGGAAAATTTCTGGATACAAAATCAACCTAAGAAAAAGCATATCGTTTCCTATTAGTTCTTTAGAAAAGTTAGATAGCACTACATTGACTTCGTTTCCTTTTACCATCTCAAATACCTTGGAATAAATGTAACCCGTGAATTCTCTGGCCTTTTCAAACATAATTTTATTAATTTATACCATCAAACTGAAAAGAACTTGGAAAGACTGTCTAAACTGCCCATCTCGCTTGCTGGCCGAATAAATGAATGAATGAATGAATGAATGAAAGCTTTATTGGCCATATGCAGGTTGCCCCACAGAGGAATAGGACCCCCCTCGACTTACACACACAACCACAAAGACATCACATGGGAATACAGTCGGAGATCGGCAGCGTTGGGAGAACAACACTGAAAAAAAATACACAACAATGGGAAGAGTACAAGAGGAAAAAAAGAGACCTCTTCACACGCTGGGCAACCTATGGGAGGACAGCATGAGAACAGGAAACAAAAAAAACTCCTCTGCACAGAGAGCACATTAATGTCCACATGACAACATCAGAGCACATGACAAGCCACAGGGGATGGATGGGGTGGTGGGGGGTAATCCGAAGGAACACAGCAGTCGTCCTGCACCATGCTATCATTTCAGCGCGGCACACAGACCTGCCGTCTTCCCCCGCAGGAACAAGCATCGAAGGCGTTTGGAAGGGAGGGGGATGAGTGTGTGCTTATCAGTGTAAGTGTGTGTGTGTGCGTGTCCAAAGTTCAGCGGAGACAGTGTCCTTCGGCCTATCAGGCTAAGTAAACAGTCCTCCAGCCGATCCAGGTGTCCTTAGGACATCATTAGGATGAGCACTTTACCCAAATTCTTATTTTTGTTTCAATGTATCCCAATATTGATCACAAAAACTTCTTTCAAGAAAATAGACCAGTTAATTTCTCAGTTTATCTGGAACAAAAAGACACCCAGAATAAAGACCAAAGACCCAAGATTACAGGAGGAATGGGGTTGCCTTGCTTTCAGCTCTATTATTGGGCCTGTAACATACGTTGTATGTCATTCTGGGGTGGGGAACATAGACCTGATTGGGAACGGATGGAAAGTATGACTTTTTTCCCTAATACTCTTAAATCTTTGGTTTTTTCAAATTCAGATCCGGGTAAGTATAAATGTAAAAATTCGGTAGTGTCCAACTCACTAAAAATTTGGTCTCAGATTAGAAGGCATTTTCATTGGCGTCAATGTTCAATCTTTACACCATTAACTCATAATCAAGCATACATATTGTTCTCAGGATCCACATTCCAGCTATGGACTTCCAAAGGGATACACACAATCAAGGATCTGTTTATTGATAATCTTTTTCCTTCGTTTCAACAACTTCAGCAAAAATTTTCCATAGAAAACAGACTTTTTCAAGTATTTACAAATACGTCATTTTATTAAAGAAACGTTTCCATCCTTTCCGAATGAACCACAAAAACTAGTTTCAGATGATCTGTTCCTGATGAACCCGCTAAAGAAAGGAGCTATTTCCAGGATCTACAACCAACTTTTGTAAATAGACAGTACAACTACATTGGACCACTTGAGAAACGCTTGGAGTGAGGAACTGGATACTAACATCACTGAAGATCAATGAACTAAAGCACAAGAACTCGTTCACTCCACTTCTGTCTGCTGCAGGCACGGACTACTACAATTTAAGGTCCTGCATAGGCTCCATTTGTCTAAACTGAAGGTTTCAAGGATGTTTCCAGGGGTGAACTCAAGATGTGATCGATGTGACCAGAATTCTGCCTCATTGTCATATATGTCTCCTCCCAGACCCAGTAATGGCACTTGTTGGTGTAGCTACAGTTAAATACTTAAATAACAAACAAATTCATGTTTTGAGTTTTATAGCACTGCTTGCAAGACGCCTTATACTTCTAAATTGGAAAAATAACCCCCCCCCTAACTCACTCTGCTTGAAATGATACATTGTGTCTCTGTTAAGAGACACAATGTATCATTTACAGCTGGAGAAAATTAAGTTTTCACTGAGAGATAATGTTAAACACTTTTACCTAATTTGGCAACCTTTTATAGATTACTTCAATAAGTAAACTGGGAGGGAAGGCCTCCTCCCATATCTGCTCCAAGTTTATATATATTGGTCTGGGCAGGTGTATTGTTCTTTTGGGGGGGTTTTGTTTTGTTTTGTTGTTTGTTTGTTTGTTTTTTCTTCTCTCTTTCCCCTTTTTTTTTTTCTTTCTTTTTTTCTTCCCTCCTTTGTATATACTCATTTAGGTATATAAATATGTATGTATAGATATAGAGATGTGATGGTTTATATAAAAAAGAATAATTAAAAAAAAGAAAAGAGCACATTCACTTTAAAAAAAAAATACAATGTTTTTCTATGGGTCAGTTAGAAGGTTATCCCTGTACTTTGAGCAATACAGTTTAAAAATTTTATATCACTGAACTTTAAAAGACACACTGTTGGAAAGAGAACAACAGTGGCTACGTTTGAGGGTAAAATGATGGCTGTAGAGCAAACACTGTGGACACAGCAACAGTTGAAACAGAAGACTCTGCCAAGATTTAATATTAATCTTGGCAGTGACAGACAGAGCTCATTAAGCAGGCAGGTGTGAGCCTGGTTGCTATAGAGCAGGGGTCGGCAACCCTAGGCACGCGTGCTACAGTTGGCACTCGAAGTCTTAACTGATGGCACGACCATAGCTGGACTGGCCATCGAGCATACCGGGTATTTGCTCGGTGGGCCGATGATTTTTTTTTTTTGTAACGGTATAAACAATGAAAGGTGGTGGATTGGCCAGATGCTGGCCGGGGTGTAAAAATAACTCAGTTGTTTGGTGGTGGCTATGGCAGCTTCCACAGATTCAGTAACATTAGCAAGTGGTGGAGGCCAGCAGGTGGATGAGAGAAAGGGGAGGCAGGAGGAGGAGAGCCCCGAGGCAGCCGCCGGTCCAAGTATCAGGTGAACTGAACTTCAGGTAAGAAGTTATAACCTGAAGTTATAACCTGAAGTTATAACCTGCAGTCTGTGTCAGATATAAACCAAGTTTAGGTGAAGTTTATTTTCGTTGTGCTGACTTTTTACAGTCAGTTACAATAACTCGTACTGCGTACTAGCTAGCATGACAGAGTTTATATACTGCTGGGTGGGTGCTTTGATGTTACTGATAGTGAATTTTATTTTATTCATAAGGTTAGTTAGTAGAGTTACCAATCGTCCCGTAAAAAGACGGAATTGTCCTGTATTCAGAGGAAATATTACGCTTATCTGGCTTATCCTAGGAAAAATGAATTGAGACTGTGTCTTTATTAACATTATTACATGTACCAACCATTGTCAGCTTTGTTTTGAGAAGCTACTGTCCCAGTTTGTATGAAGTAAGTAGTCCTGCAGCCATTGTGGCCTTCTGACACATCTAATACCACCCGTGTCCCTTGGTTTCTCTCAGCAGCTCCTCCTTCTGGCTTCATTGTATAAATTTACACGTTCAGTTTTTTCTACTTTCAATTACTTTAATTGCTTCTTTGAGAAGAATAAGGGCTGTTTATGGGGCAGTCAAATGATTGCCTCGTGTGACACCAAAGAAAGCGTAATGCCAATGAAATATTTAATATCAGCTACCTGCAGTTATAACAGTACCCAAGTGTACTTTGCAAAATATGTTTGTTTGTTTTTATTCACACAGGCTTCCGTAACATATATGCAAAGAGTAAATTAGTAAAGGTAAAGATGAAGATGAATGTGATTTCTGAGGGTAATCACAAGATTTAGCTCTAAGATTATCTATAATCTCTGACCTTCAGTTTTCTAGCCACTTCCACATGGTTGTCATAGACGAGGACATCGGCAATGAGGTTCTCCCTCTCCTTGGAGAAGGACAACTGTCCCTCTGTGACATGTGGCTCAACAATTACCTTCAGCAGAGTGTGAGGACACCTGGTCCCATCCCACACCTGGGAAAATAAAAAAACATGATATAGGTAATGAGCACGACACACATTTTTGACCTGATAAAAGCACAGAAACATGCAGGTGATGCTCATCTAGTCATCTGTCACTCTAATTTTGCAGCATTTTGCAGCCCGTACAGTCTCAAAAAGCTCTATGCCTGAATACAAACATGGTGCCTAAAAAGCAGAAGCAATATCACGCTGTATTGGAATAGAATCATGAAAGAATCACAAAGCCTGAACAGCTATTTGAAAACAGGCATTACTAAATGGAACAGAGAAAGATTATGCATGGTGAGTTGTCACTGGCCTCTTACAACATTAAGGTTCTGGATTTGAAGGTTCTGGTCAGGTGGCACCAACACATGATCCCAAGACTACAAGGATGCAAGTATTCTTCCACCAATTGTCACTTTTGGTGTCTGAGTGAATCACCACATTCCACTGACAGTTTTGATCTTCTTTTTGATGAGGTTTTCTTTTCTTTATCAAATAGCCTGCTATAATTTGAAAAACATATTTTCCTGATTGTATGTGTTGTTGCATAACAAAAGACTCTAGAAGTGGGTGAGAGCTGACTGGCAAGAGCCTGGCGTTTACTGCCAAATCCTATTCAAATTTATCTCCCCCATCACTGGCAGGAAACCAGTCACCACTTACAGCGTAGCTTCTGTTCTCAAACCTGAGGTGTAAAGTAAAACACATCAGTAGCAAAACAAAACACATGAGATCTCTTCCTAGTTGAAGCCACAAGATTACGGATGTTAATTCACGTGGAAAACAAAGGGTAACAAATTCTTTCAAAAACATTCACATGGCATTGAAAAGTGCTTTTCTTCAGGTTTCTTACCCTCAACAAGGTGCAGGTGGTATCAACAGGGGCCTTGGCCAGCAGCTGGCAGGTCAGGTCAAAGTAAGCTTTGGGCTGAACAGCAGACAGTGGGACTGTGCTGGTAACTGAGGCGAAGAGAGCCTGACTGGCAGCCCAGGATCGTAGCTCCTCCACCGTCCGCTGGTCGTCTGGGTCAAAGTGGAATGAACGGCTGGATGTCCGTGGTTCGACCGGTGCACCTTTCACCCCATCAAATGTCACCACAGAAAAACCAAAGGTGTTGACCAGCGTGATGGACTTGTTGAAAACTTGAGCCTGTGTAGACAGATGTAGACTTATTTATTACATTTCACATGAATAAAGATTATTCATCAATACATTAATATTACTATTTATTAATAGAGGTGATTTTGCAATATTTAATTCTCACCTGAAAATTTACAAATCAGTAGGGCAAAATATAGATACTAAACACACTAAATGCACTCTGCAGTCTTGCACCTTAACTCTGTGCATGCGAACAATGTCTCCATTCCGAAAGATTTTGGGATGGTCCTCCAGTTTCTCACAGAAGATGGTGCAGCCAATCTTTTCATTAGAGTGGTCAGTAATCTTCAGGCTAGAGCAGAAATCTGTGAAAAGAGAACTTTATGATATCAGAAAAAAGTGTCTAGTCTACCATAAAAACAATTCAACTGTTTCAGAGACTAGGACAGTAAGCACCAACACTTGTCTTCTTCACCTGTCCCTCCTGAACCTTCCTCCTCAGTGTGTCAAATGTTAAGCTATTCCTTGGGATTTTTTGGTAATGATACTTCTAATGCAACCTGGCTTTAGCTTTGGAGGCCAAGCTCAGTGAACTGAAGAAACAGCTCGACACCTGTGAAAATCCTGTAGCTAGCCAGGTACCTGTAGTAGGTGCAAGCGAAAGCAGTTTAGCTACAGTTTAGCTACTGTCCCCAACAGATTGTCCCAAATAACTGGGAAATCAGACTGGCTGAATGACTGGGAGTAGGAAGGGAAACTATTAAACAGAAGCCCAAAAAGGTTGATTCTGTTCATCTGGACGTAGTGTTTTCAGTAGGAGAAATGTTTCGTCACTCATCCAAGTGACTTTTTCAGTGTCAGCTGACTGCAGGTTTCCCCAGTCTTATAAACAGTACATTTTAACAATGACTGAAACCAGCCCACTGATGAACAATGGGCTGGGAGGTCAGTTCCCTGATCATTAATACGCAAATTCTAATGATCACTGATCAACAACCATTGATCAATGGTCATGAGTACCATTCACAGAGGGTAAAGTAAAGGGAAAGACCATCTCTGAATCGAGGAGGGGGTCTAAGGGTACATTTTTCACCATCTTACAATGCTGTGATTGCAGCCATTCCCCAACTCTCTTTTGGAGAGGAGGCTTCAGCCCCTGCTTTCCATCCAATTGGTTAAAAATAAAATGTTTATTTTTATGTTAATTTTGTTGCACGTGAAAACCTTTATTGTCATTTTTAACTATATTCGATGGCCTCTTGGCTGTCTTGCAACAGTGTCAGCATGGGAATAATCACTGCCAAGAATAGCAATAAAAAATAACTTAATTTGATTTTGTGTGGTTCATTTATTCACTCAATCTTTTTGTGAATTCCTTTGTGCTTTGTGTTCATAAATCATGCCAATACTCAAACCACGAGTATTGATTTCACTCACCTGTAAAGAAGCAAGCCTCTATACATGCTACATAAGAGACTTTCTTTAGAAATGGGAGTAATAAAGAACTATGAAAACACTTTAGTGCACATAAAATTGTATTATTTGAAAGTTTTGCATATAGTATCAAAAGTAAAAATAATTATTTTGCAGAAAAATGTCCTCCATCAGTGTTATATTTAGTCTATAACTGACTGCAAAAGTATAGTTTGGATATAATAAAGGCATGAATGAAGATGAATTGATACAATAAAAGTGGTTTAACTTTAGTTAAAAGTCTTACAGAAAGTTGAGTTTAACATAGTTTGATCCATCTTAAAGTTACGGTGAATTAATAAAGAAAAACCATGACGCCAAAATTCTTTACCTGAAGTTTACAATGGGATGCCAGGGGCTCAAGATCTGAGGGGGTTCTTTTTATGTTTAAATAATTCTTTGAGAGAGACGCAAAAGTGGATGCTCAGAGGGCTTCATAGACAGGTTAGAGTGAATAAGTTCATACAGGACAGCAAACCTGTTTCTGAGCTGCAGATCACGTGGTCGGGGAGATGAAGAGCTTCTGTTTTTAATGCCAGACATTGCCACAAACATCGATAGAAGATGAATGCATTTTTTGACGAAGGCTACTAAGGAAACAAATAGCCTGCTGAGTGAAGCTACTTAAGTAGCAACTAGCACAGCTTTATCCACCTTATCTTCTGGTTAAAAGTCCAACTAAATTCTGATATGGGTTCCTTACTGACCTGTACCACGGCTCTTAAAAGGCTGTTTGAAGAACACCACTACACCATACACATTGACAACAGATCCAGCTTTCAAGCTGTCCAGTTTGGCATATGTGTACTTTGGAGCCTTGGCTGAAGAAAGCTGAGGAGAAGCAAAACTGTGTTAAAACACCAATATGAGCATGTTAACATTCAGCCACAGACACGCCGACAGATCATGTCAATTCTGCACTGATAAATTCTGCAACTTAATACATGTCCTGTATTTGAGGTGTTAAATGCTACTACCTACAATTATACAAAAACAAGTATCTGTTAATTTCTGACATCTTCCTTGTGCTCCTTTAATATTTTATATTATGACTGAAGACAACTGAGCAAGTCCCAGAAGCAGTCCCTGTGAACAGCCATCGTTGAACAGAGGGGATGGCTTAAGATGCCAAAAATCCAGACTTTCTGTACAAAATCAGCTTTAGGTTTTAAGGCTTCTGAATATTGTCATTTAGACAATTAAACAATTAACCGTGTAATTTGAGGGGTTTTTTTAAGCATTTTGGCTTTAGCTAAAAAATATACTTATTATTATCATCTGCTGATTTGTACATGTTTTAAGCCATTTGTGAAAACAGCAATAGCAAGCTTTAAGGATTGGAACTGACACAAGTTTAGCAATTTCAATTCCATTACAGATATCACTGATCGATTCGATTCCTTATTGATTCACTTATCGATTGTCATTGTGTTCTCATTAACTGACCAAGAATTTCAAGGAATTGGAATACTGAGAACCGGTTTTCTGCAAGACCCGGTTCACTTCCAATCCCTAGCAAGCAGTTATTCAAAGCTCGATTTTTAAAGGCTTAAAGAAGCTGTTAAACAATGACAAAATAGGCAGACACAAAAGTCTGGGGACATCCCAATTCACGGAAGGCTACGTTAGGACAGCCCTTAAATGACATAAAGCATTCTGACAGCTACCAGACCTCCAAGACACACTCCAGCAATCTCTATAACTAAACAGGATACTCATTCTGACCTCAGCAGAGACTGGGGATCTCCTTTTGTTGGCTGGTGGGGATCTGGGGTTAGGAAGCACTGGACGCAACACCTAAAAGGAGACAGGAGAAAGAGGTGAGGTGAGGTGCTTTAGTGATTCGTTGTTGATTATTGGATGACCATCTTCAGGATAAAACTGTCATTGTTCAATGGCACTAGCGGCCCCTTGTGAACCACTTTCCCCTGTAAATTGAAGAAAAAAAAAATCCTGATGTGAAAATGAACTCAAAAGCATTTTGCTGTGACTGACGTTCTGCAAAATTTCCTGTCAATATATCAAAGCCAAATCTGAAAACCAAGCAATGTTAATAAGACCTTGAGAAATGGGCCAGAGGACAAAAGGTGATTGTGCTTATATCACTGCTGTGCTCTAAATCATGAAAAGATGGGGACTGGAAGCTAGAAAGTGAGAAAAATGCACTCTGAACTTGTCACCTTATCTATTTACATTTCAGGTCTTATTTTCTTTAATTCTAATAATTCCAAATTATTTCTCATTATAGTTGACTGTTGGCAGAGTGCTATATCAAAGCATTTTGATTGAAACATGCCTGGAAGAGAAGTGTGTGCTAGGAAAAGGTCAAAAGGCAACAGAGATGATTTCAGTCTTGACAGGGTTGTCAAGAAAAGTCAATTCAAGAAACTAGGAAGCTTCATAAGTAGTGGACCGAGGCTGGTGTCAGTGCATCATGAACCACCACGTACAGAAAGGGGCTTCTTCAGGAAAGGAGCTACCACTGTTGCATTCCTAATATCAAGTATCTTTGTAGATTTTGTTTCTAAATCAAGGTCCTGGAGTCTGGGTGAAGATTGAAGAGGTACAATTTACTTTTATCTGAAAAGCCTTTGAACCACTGAGCAACAGTCTATTTTCTCATCTTAGAGTCCAAGGTGTTTGAAATTCAGTGTCAAAATTCCACAGTCTGTGATGATTTGAGCTTTATAGAAATGCCAACTTCATTTTCCAGCAAGACTTGGTGCCTGCCCACAGTGCCAAAACTTCTACCATATCTACCATGTTGTTACCCTGACTGGTCAGCCAGCTTGCATGACCTAAACCCCACAGGGCCTCTATGGAGTACTGTCAAGAGGAAGATGAGTAAATGTCAACTTCAAAATAAAGAAGAGCTAAAGGCCGTTATCAAAGCAACATGGCCTTTAGTAACATCTCAGCTGTGCCACAAGGTAATGGCACACCACACTGAGGTAGACATTTGTGGAAAAGGAGTCCCAACCAAGTAGCAAGTATATAGATGAACATACAGACAGCTTTAGGGTCACAATTTTAAAAAGAACAAAAAAAACAAAAACATTGTCATTGATGTTTTTTTTTCCTTTTCTTTTTTTTCGCCGCCTGTCCGTTTGGCTCTTTTGCCATCAGAATTATTGTCTAAAGGCAAAGAAAGATGCCCAAGGATTTACTTTACCAAATGGACCATCCCAGCCTTGCCGTAATGGTCTATTTGATTCACCTTTGCTTTTATTGTTTATTTTGTTTTATTTTCACTTGCTAAACACGGGAACAGATTTCACTGGGGAAAAGAAAAGGGAGAAAGAAAAAGGGAAAGAAAAACAGCGGGGAAGTGTCATTGATCATTTTGAGATTAAAGTTGAAATGCTATTGAGAAAAAAGAGAAAATGTAGAGATTATAGCTGTTCTTCCAACATAAGCCGCCACGGTTACATTCTCTGAGTTAATCTTACTTCAGAACCAGTTTTAGTAACAAGAAAGGAAATGATTTCTCTTTTAGCACACAAACATATTGTAGTGATCAATATATGGACGTTGAAAAGATGGTTTAAAAAGCTGCGCCTGGTCAGATGGGGAACAAACACAACCTGAAAGAGCAGACCAAAATGAAATGGCTGGCAGTGGACAGATGCAAGGCTATCAATGGTTACACCTTGTGCAATAAAGAATATTTATGTTGTATCACAAGACGTCTGATCAATTTGTTTCACTAACTCTCTACATAAGGCATTTTGTAGAGGCTATAGCGCCCCTGGCAGTTTGGCTTGAAACAACAACAACAACAATAATCTATGCATTTCGACTTTTTTTAATATAGCATTTTTTCTTGAAATAGAATTACAACTTTACAACTCAACTTTAACAACTAAACTGAATTTATTCTCAAAATGATCAATAATATTCTCTTCTTAAAGTGGCCCTGATACTCCTTTGTAGAAATTTGACATTTCTATATAGGGCTGCTCGATTATGGCAAAAATGATAATCACGATTATTTTCACTGAAATTGAGATCTCGATTATTTGACGATATTTATTTAACCCTTTAAGACCTACTATAGAACCAAGTCCGCCAGAGCTTATATTATTTTTTTACATGTTGTAGTGCCATTTGTGGGAGCATTTCAAGTTGCTATACAACTGTTATAGCCCATATTTTAATAATATGTATGCATTAAGTCCATAGTAACTACATTAATTGCAAAAAAGTGCAATAAACTACAAAAAAATTGAAAATCGTTTTTGTTTTTTTTACATATATTTCTACTTGGAGAAATTTAAGAGGTTTATCCCTCAAAACTTTAAATACAAAAAAGTTGCAAAAAATAGTTTACAACAACAGGAAATTTATTTTGAGTGTCTTCATAGTTTTATTTTGGAGATACAGCAATTTTTATATACTGCAGGAAAAACAAAAAAACAATCCTATGATGCAAATTTGCAAAGAAAACAGCAGGTGCATCAAAATAAACTATTTCCAGCAGTGCAATTCGAGTTCTAAGCATCCCAGAAACTATTCAGAAAAGTCAAACATGACCAGTATAGGCTTTTAAGGCCTACAAGTAAAAAACTACATTTTCCGCGAAAATGACGTCACTTCCGGTTTCGGGCAGGAAATGGCGGACATGCGATAGTTCGCGCTGACGTCTGTTTCACTGTGGGAAGTGTTACGAACAGCTGATCGGATCGGCAAAGCGTGTTTCTGGAATATTATGTTTTTGTTCCTGCAAGCGCTTTTTATGCAATTTTTGCAAAGCTTTATGTGGAAGGAAACCGTGACCGAGGACAAGCTGATGGCATAAGATGTAAGTACAACTCCTCTGGTTTCATATGCAAAACAAAATATTGCGCTAGCTTACACGGTTCAGGTTCTACAGGGATTTAAAAATAGTTACACAAAACGGAGCGTGCAGCTCTGACCGGCTTTAAAGGGTTAACAATAACAATGTATTGAATAATGACTTTAAAAAATAATATAAAATAGTGTGCAACACCACTGAAGTTTTTTTTTTTACCTCTCTTTTCAACCAACGGCAGTCACTCTCCTCTCCAAATAACTTCTGCTTAGCTTTCCGAGCTTCCCTCGGGTCCTCTTAATCAGCGGTCTCCAACCTTTTTTGCGCCAGACCGGTCCTTTAAGGTGTCGCGGATAAATGAGGGAGGGGCTAATAATCGGCTCAGTCATTTTTAATGATCGTTGAAAGCCCAGATCGTAATCGTGATTAAAATTCGATTAATTGAGCAGCCCTAGTTCTATATTGTAATCCATTTCTGGTTTATATAAGGAAATATTCTAATAATGTGAGATACTGATTTTTGATTTTCATGAGCCACAATCATAAAAATTTAAATAGATATAAAACACTGATATATGCACATATGAATAAATTCAGATGCAACTTCCAGGTCAAGTCTATTAGTTACATTAATACACTTTCCAGAGTTAGGACTATACATGCTTTGCGCACAAATGACGTCAACTCCTTTATGTAATCTTTAAGATTGCAGGTTTTTATACTGGGTGAGTCTGGGTGGTTGTATTTATGGAGTTAAAGCAGCTACTTGGAAGGCTGGCGGTTCAATCCCTGCTCCAGTCTGCATGCCTTAGGCAAGATACTAACCGGATGCATTCATCGGAGTATGAATGTTAGACAGAATGCAATGTGATGTAGAAAAAAAGTGCTTGTGAGAATGAGAGATGCTCAGGTAGAGTAGAAAAGTGCTATATAAGAACCAGGCCATTTACCATCATCACACAATGTTCATTCTGCTAGAGCAGTACAAAGCCATTATTGCTTGGGACACACAGATCTTATTTGTGTACATACACACACACACACGTTCATGGGCACTTTATATATTTTGTTTTTAGGCTTGCTGTAACAGACCTTGACTATTTTGTCTGTGACATCTGTGCTGGTGGTGATGAGAGAGATGGGAATCCTGGTCAGATGTGCTGGTATCTGAGGCCCCGTACCCTCCAACAGCACATGGACAGGCATGACATCAAGGTGAGACCTGAGAGGCTGAGATAGAAAAAATTAAATAAAATAAAAAAGGACAAGTTTAGTATAATTCCAGTCTGCCACCAATCGAGTTGACAA